GCATCCTCTTGTGGTTAAACTACAGAACTACACTTCCATAACCAGAACTCCCATTCAAACACACAGACCCTGAACTGGACAGCTTGTCTAATACATTACTTTTTACAGATAACTTTACTAGTTCACCTGGTTTATATGTTGCAGATTCAAGAAGACACAAAACGAATTTTTCACAGCTATGAAAGAAAGAATCGCTTAATGTGAACACTGCAGATGTGGGGTGTTGTTGGAGAGAAGCAGGGGAGGAAGGGATTAGAGGGTGTGGTCTAAAACTGGAGGGGCGGGTTTAAAAGAGGAGCAGGGAGTCCTGTTTCCACAAGAAGGAAATACTCAAACAAAATATTATTGACAAGAGAACTTTTCACAGTAATTTGAAATGAAATGCAATCAATGAAAGTCAAGGCATTGCTTTTCAACCGTGCTTCAGTGGAATTATTAAAAAACAAACTCCTGGAAAGGGCCTGGACAAAAATGATGGTACCCCAACCTAATATTTTGTTCTACGACCTTTTGAGGCAATCAAACGATTCCTGTAACTGTCACTGGGACTTCTGAACCTCCCAGCTTAGACTGCTGGAGGACACACTTTCCACACTTTACTACTTTCTTCTACAATCTGCTCTTTAACTGTATTATTTCCTGCTATTTCAGCTGTTAACTTTATTTATTTTTTCTCTAAAGTGTTTTTCTCCCCAGAAGAAGCTACAACGATGTTCTGCTGAGCTGTGGTGGCCTCATGGAGGGGGCCATCGGCTAACACACTGCTGCTAACCACTTAAACATTCTCCCTCTCCTGATAATAACATTTTACAAACATTGAATGTGCTACTACTAGTTTACCCGTTTAATTATAGATTCACTAGGATAAATACAATAACAGTTATCTCTCACCAAATAGAATATTTACTAAGAAATCACAATGTAACTATAGAAACACTACTGTGTGTGTGTGTGTGTGCGTGCGTGCGTGTGTGTGTGTGTGTGTGTGTGTGTGTGTGTGTGTGCTCTGTCTTCTCCATCCCCAGTGAGTCGTGAGGATGGCTGCTTATACTGAGCCAGGATTCTCTGGAGGTTTCTTCCTGTTAAAAGGGAGTTTTCCTCTCCACTGTCGCTGCATGCTTGCTTAGTATGAGAATTGCTGTATAGTCACTGACACTAGTCAGTGACATGATGCAACCTGCTGGGTTCCTTATATAGGAACTTTTTTTTACTGATTGGTTTAATGAACTGACCGGAATTGGATTGTTTACTATGTGAAGTTCCTTGAGACGGCTCTTGTCATGATATGGCGCTATATAAATAAACTTGAATTGAAGTGTGAGTCATGGTAGCAAGCGCAGCTGGCTGTGAGGGAGGCGCCTTTCTTGCATCTGATTGGCTAGAAGGGTTCTACTATGATTGGCTATTTCATTTAGCAGCAAACCGTCCTACCTCGCTAAGAGCAGACTGTCCTCCTGCCACCAACAGAACAGCTGTTTTAGGGAGTTTTATAAAGAAAATGTGAACTTAGCTCTATAATAACCATTTTGTCCTGTTTAGCTAAATAATTATTTTGTACATAACATGTCTGTGTAACAGAAACATTTTTAACTGTAAACGTTGCTTTCTCTTGGCCAGGACTCCCTTGAAATGAGGTTTTTAATCTCAGTGGGACCTTCCTGGTTAAATAAAGAATAAATAAATACATGGCTGGCCCAGGCTGAGGCCTTTCCCCGGAGCAGTGACGTCAGAGGAGGCAGGGGAGGCACTGCCTCCCTGGTCATTGTGACTATTAAAATACGGACAATGATTTAATATAAAGTCAGTGTATCCAATGACTGGATTATACATTTGTTTTCTGTATGATTTCAACATGTTTCTGATCAAAATAGCTGAATTAACCCTTTTCCCGATCAAAGCTACGTGCAGAAGCGAGAGGGGAGACAGAGACGAGCTTGCCTCTGCTCTCTCTGAGCCATTGGCGGTTTTACCATTAGGCATAGGTCGGCGGTCGCCTGGGGCCCCCTTATGTTGGGGGGGGGGGGGGGCCCTAGCCCTGACTGCAGGCACCCCTCTGTTAATGCCACAATGGACTATTCCATTAAGATGCTGATGCACAAACAGGAAGTGATTTATAGTCATTCCAGTCCAATCCAGTTGGTGGTGGTAATGCACCAAATTGTTGTTTGCCAAGTGCCATAAGACCACAAATAAGATGAAGACGAGAACACAGAAGAAAAGAGGCGGGAGTGTTCATAACAAACTCGAAGCGGTAGTCAAAACATTAAGGATGAAATGGAGTTATCCTAGTGGCTCCAATAAGAGAAAGAAGCAGCTTGCTTCAAAAAAGCTTTTATCTTCACTTCTGAAAGTGACGTCGTTTTTCTATGTAAACATCAAAAGGAAGCAGAAAAGGAAAGACAATGGAAAATGTTTAAAGGGAGGAAAGCATAGACCAAGATGGAAAATAGAAGAAAAAAAAAGAAAGGCAAAAGCACAGGAGCACTGACAGGAAGAAGAAAGCACTCAAAGGGAGAAAAAGACAGGAAAAAAGAGGAGGACTAATAAAAAGGGGAAATAATTCATGTCAGAAGGGGAGAGTTTCGCAAATCCAGTTAAAGGTAAGATTGTCGAAAATTTTGTGTAAGGGGGCCCCATGTACGCGTTCGCCTTGGGCCCCCAAATTGCTAAATCTATCACTGCTCTGAGCAGCCCCCACACACATTAACTGATTCAGGCAGAGCGCAGCTCTCTGTAACAAGTGTGTGGGGCGCTGTGCCCCCTGGAGGCAGAGATGAGAGCTGCCTCCTTTCTCACAGAGCTCACACACTCACTGAAACAGGAATTTGGCACGAGCTCACTGATGTCTGTCTTCATATCGCCAAGATAAATGTTTTATTTCACATGTGCTGCACATGATGACATTCTACAGCCTGCTTAATATATTTAATCATTGTGTTAGACAAGTTTAGTCTTTCTGAGCGGACAAACACGCAGTAAAAATGCACTAGGGAGGCAGTACCCTGCCTCACTGATAGGGGTGCTGCTGAGCCCCATAGACACTGGTGCAAACTGGATGCTCAGTGCACAACACAATGTTTTTTGTAGTCTTACTGTAATTGCTTTGACCTCTGTGAACTCTCTTCAACACCTGCTAGTTTTTACTTTATACTTTATTTTAGACTATACAGTATAAAAACCAATGAACAAATAAATACTTATTTTTATAATATTCAAAATAAAAATCTGTCAGTATGGTTTCTGCTGTTAAAATAGCTGTGAAATGCTAAATCTCAGCCTCTATCCTGATCTTGCGCCACAAAAGGACTTTTTGAAATATAAGTTATTTGCATTTATTGTGATTTTTACCCTTTAATGCCAGCTAATTAAAAGTGTGCTTCCTGTTTTGGACAAAAGAAGTTTGGCCTTTGATCCTGACACCACTCATCTTGCCTTTGAGTTACAGAGCAGTAACACTGACCGCCTTGCACACTTTATTTAGGATGACAATACACTGAAGCAGTGGCGGCTCCAGAAATGTTTTTCTGCAGGTGCTATGAAAGAGCTAGTTTTTTATTGAGGGTGCTGTGAAGGAAGTGGTCATGCGTACCTATTATTCTCTAAAACACCTTCAGCACTAGCAGATACACATGCGTGCACAAAACCTCAACACCTGAAACAATCACTAATACACATCATAAACATATGAACAATCGCTGACTTTTCCATGAAATCATAAACACATACAGCCACACAGAAAACCATCTATAGTGTTGCAAGGTTAGCTAAGGTTAGTGTTAGCATTTCCAGCGGCAAAACCCTCGACTGCTGCGGCGGTTGAGGGTTGACTTTCTTCATCCAGTTCCGTAGGTTTATGTGGGTCTGAGATCACTTCCAAACATTCATTCGTTTCTGACTGAACCCGTGGAAATGTGGGCAACAAAAACCGATCCATTTTACCGCTAGCTCTACCTTTCACTCGTACGCAGGTGGAAAATGAGGTCAAAGGTTAACATCAATTTCCTGTTTTGGTTTAAGTTTTTACTATCTATCTGATAATTTACTGATTATTTTTGTTTTGTATGTTAAACATTATCACATCCACACGTTAAATTAAAATTAAATTGTAAACAAATAAATCTAATATTTACTTAGGGGTGCTATGGGGGTGCAATGACTAATCCAGGGGTAGCTATAGCGCCCCCTAGCACCCCCCTGGCACCGCCACTGCACTGAAGCAGAACTCCGTGTGGAGCGTGCATACACTGGTGTAACCTAACAATTACATTTTTGCATTTCATCTGACAGGATACATTTAGTTTATGTTAATTGACAATGTTTTCATCAGTTTTTTTATTCATAGGCTTTTATTGGTGACTCGTTTTTTATTTTTGTGTTCTTTGCAGAAGCCTTGGTTTATTGTTCAGTTGCTTTTAAATGTACTATATAAATAAAACTGAACTGATTTGATAACCTACAGGAGCATCGACTGTAAAGGAGATCAAAGCAGCAGCTGCATCGCTGGGAATGATTGTTCTTAATGCAGAAGAAAATGCCTCGTCTTCTCTGCCTGGCACGCTGATGAAGAAGCAACTTTGACAGTCACTGATACGTGCAGGATCTGTTTGTATCTGGACTTTCACTGAACCCGAACCCTAACCCAGCCCACTCCACTGACTTTGTAGAACATCTTAATGTGATTGTCTGGCTGTCAAAGACAAATTTGTTCATTTGGTTAATGTAAAATGATGCATTTACTAGCAAAATCCCTGCAGCTTTGACTGTCAGCTTGTAAAAATAGTAATGTAAAAACCTGCTTATTGTGGTGACATACCAAGAAGATTTAGCACTAACTGCAGATTTTTTAAAAGACTGTATTTACCTCCATCTACTGGCAGCTGTGCAACATCAATGTTAAAATGCATTTGAGAATTCTGAAGGTTCCTCCTTTTTGTTTTTCCTTTCAGCTTTCAAATAAAATATGAATGAGGGAAAGGAAAAATAATAAGTTACACCTCTTATTTGGTAATCAAATGCTTTATTGCCAGGCAGCAGTTCATGACCTTGTTGGTACTGTTGAGTTGTTACAAATCTCTTAGTGTGACATCAACAAATTGTAAAATCATCAGGATTCTGAACGGTTAATCAGTGACAGATCATTCTTAAACTGTAAAATCGGTTTCATGCTCATCATACACTGGGTTTATAAAGTGGACTCCTGTGCGGGTCAGGGAGATTGCGTTTGAATCATACAGACCGGGGAGAGCACTTGGCATGTCACAGCCGTCAAACATTGGATTATCAAACCCACAATCAATATCCCCATTAATGTCTTCAACATCTGGGCTTCTGCGGAAAAGGCTCAGTGACGGCATTGAAGGCATGGCTGGCATTTGCACGACACCCTTACGATTCAGCACCACTAAGATAACAATGAATGCAATCATGAGTAAAACTGCAAACACAACTCCAACCACCATTGCTGAATTGCTTTCAGTGGAACCTTGAATTTCCGCTTTTGTGATTCCCAGTTCAGAACCATGAGATTTAGCATCTTTGATTATGTCCTGGGCCAAAGTGTTTGACAGTTTCCCCATGTCTCCATCCACAATAACTACCTGGATCTCACGTGATGTACCAAAAGGAATCAGACGCATCAATGGCCGTGGCTTTAGGACCTTAGACATGCCCAGCTGAATGGACTTGTATTGTGGCAGGATAAGAAAAAGGTGACGAATCCGATCCCTGTAGTGCTGCAGGTTGAAATTTTCAGCGTAATCAATGGTAATGATGGCACCACACACCTCACAGCAGTGCCCCACTGGGAGGAGAGGATTTTTACAGCTCAAAGAGGCACAAGTTACTGTGCTACAGATGAGCTGATGGTGTACAGAGTTCTCACAGACACAGCCGGTGGAGTCCTCACAGCTTGGGTTTCCAACAGTGACAGCTGAAGACCCGTGAAATTGCAGCTGACCCGAGTGTGAGCTGAGGTACCTGGAGAACTCGGATCTGTCATCGAACGTCTTCCCCAACACAGACACAGATTTGACAGGAATGGTGGACTGACTGCAGCTGGTGTCCGAGCGGAAGGAGGACAGAGCTTTGAAAATGACTTCGTCATTCTGACAGGGGACGCTCTCTTCGTGAACTGAGAACAGGAAGTTTCCCTGGTGCAGGTCGTTCTGAGTGGCAGCAGTCTGCCACAGAGCTGGATTAAACCACTGAAGAGAGTCTGAATCTTTGAAATTGGTCGTCACACCCCCTCCACAGCTGGGGTCTTGTCCGCTGACAACATAAAAGCCAGCTCCTGGATTCAGTATGAACTCTCCGTTGATCGGCAGCAGTATCTCCTGCACAGCATGCATAGTCTCCACAAACACAGACACTTTGCTCTGGGATGAAAAGTGAACTCTATCGTTGCCACACGGAACGTCTCCTTTGTCCCAGTTGGTTTTATTTTCATAGTTGGTGTCAGGAATCCACTGTTTGTAAATGGCATTTGTTGCCCTGGCAAGACAGAAGAGCAAGAGCACTTGTGTTCTCAGCATCTTTAACGTCTCTGACAGGCACTGGGAAGATTGGGTGACCTTTGATTCCAACTGTGTGACCATCACTTACTGGTAAAGTTCATTAGCTCAGCAAGTTTCAAGCAGCTGACCTGTAAAAGATTTACACACTGCACACAAAATTATGACAGCAAAGTTGATGGAGCTCTATGTTCACCTTTTGTTCTTCGTGTTATCTGTTCACTTATAACTTAATTTTTAAAAGAAATGATCTAATCAGACTTTGTCACTCTTTTTTTTCACTTTCAACACTTCAATAAAGTGTAAGCAGTCTAGAGCTCGTTTACAATTTTTATATATATATATATATATATATATATATATATATATATATATATATAATATAGTAATCAAATGTAATCACAGATGTACACAATAATAAATGATTCAGTATTTTGATCATTATGCTTGAAATACAAAGGGTAATTGAGTCATTGCCCTTTGTATTGTGGGAAGAACCCTCCGCTGATGTTCATATCAATGCAGACTTTGGCAAAGTGCCCATCAAGGGGGAAAGGGGGTGTAGCCGAGGTCCAAACTCACACCCCTGAACCAGAATGTGCCATTTCCTGTGTTAACTGCGGTGTCTCACAGCATTTCTTGTTTTGTTAAAGCTGTTATAACAAATCTGCAAACAAGCTTGTGCAGTTGGAATCTGTATTGATTTTTTTTAAAGCATTTGACACAATTAAAAATCTCTTTCGGGGTATTTCTCTTATCTGATGGCACCATCTAGTGGCTGACAAGCATCACAAAAATAGTTTCTCCTTCCGTTTTTCTTAAGATGACGACTTCACATCGCAGTTCCCCCGTTCTACCACTAGATGCTGTTCCTACGCATGGTCTGAGGTTTTCTTATATTTAGGAACACTTCCACCCACAGGTACAAAACGACGTACACAAAATAAGTGTACATAAGTTCCTACACACAATATACACACAGATTTGTAAGTGCGGTTGATAAATGAGGCCCCAGAGCTTTCTGTTGAATAGAAATAAATGTCTCCCAAAGCAGATTTAAGAAAGAAAAAAAAACAAGGTTGAATCGGACTGGCGTTTTTCGTCATCCCAGAGCTCATACGGGCTTTAAATGCATTCATTTTCTCTTCAAAGCAGATTTTAGCTTCTCTCTAAACCCAGCAGTCTTTAGACTTTGAAGTGTTTATATATCGGGGATTTCTTCCACAAACTCTCTTAAACGTTTACGTCGCGTATTGATAGCAGGCCAGTGTTTATTTTTGCAACCCACTCGCGCATGAGCACAAAGATGAAAAAAGATGTCAACAAAGATCCTCCAATAGTTCCAAACTCCAATAGTTGCATCATTGAACGCTGTTCATTCTCTCGTGTTTTTTTCCTCCGATAATTTGACGAAATTACAAAAATCACTTTTGACGAGGTAATGTGTCTTTTTCACAAATAAATCTGTGTCCTCTAAAATAATCAGAGCTGAATCACGTCTGAATACCAGTGGATATTAGAGTATTTGATATTTATTGCAGGACTATTATTTTTGCATTTGTTTATGTATTTAGCAGACGCTTTTTTCCAAAGTGACTTACAAGTGATAAAGCCAGAAGGTTGCCCTTGAGGCTAACAACAAACACTAATCAGTCAAACCTAGTTGGCAGCATAATGAATCATAAAGAGAGTTACTGCCATGCTCCTCGTTCGACTGGCGAGATTACAAAATCCCTAGAGACGTTCACCAACCTCCTTGCAAGATCACGACATCCCTCGATACTTCAAAGATTAGTTTGTTTATGCAATCTGCCATCAAACCAAAAAGAAGAAAATCACATTATCGCTGTCATTTATGTTGTTGTTCCTCTCCAATGCCAGGATTAAAGCCATGAAAATCACACCGCTGCACTTCTAGAAACTATACTAAGAGTAAATAAGTTGATGGGTCATTAGCTTCATTTATATGAAACTGCATCTCTGCAATACTTTTATTTGAAAATTACCAGGGATTGGACACTGGAACTGTGCGTGATTTCCGGCCTAGTCTCCTCCCTTTCCGGTCGACTCATGGGTCCCCGGAAGAATGAATAAATGAATGCAAGTCAACGGGGCTAAAAACGCTATTTTCTAATCTGCTTTGCTTTACGCCCTGGATCACACATATGCTGTACTGCAATTTAAATGAAAATTAATGATGGGTGTTTCGACTACGCCAGTCATGTACTGTGAGATTTATCAGCTTGTTAAAGTTTGTAATTAGCGTGACTACTAACTAGAAATCAGCACATCGCATATGTGACGTCAACACATAATCTCCTCCCCCTAGCGTAGCTGCTACTTACCACATGGCCAGATTTATGGTGGTACTTTCCTCCCGTGGGAAGTTTGCTGAACTTACAGCCCTTTTCCCTCTGTTCTCTCCGTGTCTGGTTCGATGACGTCACTTTCGTGAAGCGCATAATGTAGTCCTGGACTTATTTTCACACAAAACCTAAAATTGCGTTTCCCCGTTAGAAAATAAGCACATTCTTGGTATCAAAATGTGTCTTTAAAATTCACAGACATCATATGTGAAATCCGTGGCACTAAACAAGCTGAATTAGAAAATACCGTTTTTAGCCCTGTTGACTTGCATACATTTTTTTTTTTTTTCATTTTTCCGGGGACCCATGATCCAGAAGTAGATGGGCGTGACTTAGGCTCCCAATGTGCAGAAAATGACGTGTCCCAGAAAAAGCTGGCGGAAAAGATAGAACCCGATTCGATCTTCAGAGGCCGCTTCGATGACGCATCTGAAAATTGCCACATCATGGCTGGTTTGAAACACTCCATAGACTATATGGATTCTATTTGAAGTTGTGCGGTTCCACTAACATTCTACACCGCTGATGCTTCCAGTGTGCAGTAGGGGTGAGGCTCCAAACATACCATCCATATGTACTGCTGATGATGCTGCCCTGGGCTGCACTTTGTATAATCCCTCACCTAGGACCTGTTATTCACGGGTGACCCTACCAGAGACATAAAGCCTCAGGCAACTTAACACCTAGGATCAATGGGACACTCAAACCCCTCCACCAAAGCCTAATTTCTCCCTCTGCGTCAGTGCGGAGACACACAACGCCATTAGGCGTTGACGTAAGGGCTCTCCGACAGGCTCACAGAGGGTGACGAAGACATGCCCAAAATTTTAAACATCTGACGAAAATGACGGAGATCGCAAGCTTGTGATAGGTCAGGACGCCGCTTCCTGTATATTTGTCACCAGCACCGATGTAGCTTTGTTAAAAAGCAAAGATATTTGTTTTTTTTATTCACCCGTAAGTGAAGGAGTACAAAATACGGTGCAAACGTGAAATGTGGGTTTAGAGGTGGCGACTGCATGAAGAGGTCAAGGAAAAATCTGTCTGTTATAGTCTCAGAAATATATAAACACATCAGTAAATACACTACCAGGGACCGGATACATGAGTTATGGTGGCAGGAATAGGACACCACAGAACAGCGCTATGCCCTCTGTTGTCCTGGCGGGGAACAGAAGTTTGAACGTGTGCATCTCTTCGTTGTGGAGCTCAGAAAAAAAGTGAAAATCAGGCTTTAGATGGCAGCCCAGGGAGAGGATGCCTCTGTCTTTCAGATAAGTCATTATTGTAGATGTTAGCACAATAGCAAAGAAGGTAGATATCGTCTTGAGGAAGAGCTGTGTTTCACCAGCATAACAGTGGAAAGATATGCCATCTCTGCTAATGGTGTTGCCTAAGGGAAGTATACGGAGAACAGTGGGCCCAGCACAGAGCCCTGAAGGACACCACAGGTAACTTCATGGTTATGTGATCTTGCTTGGTCCAGGGCGACATATTCTGTCTGGCCAGTCAGGTATGACGAAAACCAGGCAAGGACATTTTCTGAGAGTCCAGTGGCATATTGAAAGAAGTGAAGGAGAATGTTATGGTCAACTAACAAAAGCTGCTGTTAGGTCCAGTAGGATCAATAGAGATGGTGAGCCAGTATCTGCTGCCATCAGGAGGTAATTTGTGACCCTTGTGACCATGACCAAGCCTGTTCCTGTGCAATGGCCAGGGTGGAATTGAGACTGAATCTACTCAATTCACATAAAATTTTATTTGTAGAGCACTTTTTATTATAAAAGCAGTATTAAATTACACAACCAGTTTTAACATTATGTACACACACACACACACTGCACAACCATAGACAGGTTCAAATAGGTTGCTTTTTAAGGTGGTTATAAACTATAACTATGCAACTATAACTAGGTGAGCAAACCCTTTTAACAATGAATAAAACAAATATGCAAAAAAGTTTCCCTAAATGTGAGGTAAAACAGCAGCAATGTGTGTCTTAGTGTGCTTATGGACTACAATAACTCAAATATGCCTCAGTACAGAGAAATCGGATCAATTCAAGGACGTTTGAAAGACCAAATAGCTACACAGAATGCAACAGTGAAAACAGGAATTACACCTTACCATTACAAACCCAGATTTCCGTGATGGCCCAGCCTAAGCTTAGCTGAGCCTGACTGTAGCATGACTAGACCAACCTACAGGGCAAAATCTTTTAGAACTGCTACGGTTTGTCCAGATTTCTAAGCTAGTACAATGCATGTTACAGAAAACTATGTGTAAAGACTCACTGGGGCAAAAGGTCCCACCCCAATTGTTCTTGACTTAATGACTGCTCTGATGAGCATGTAGAAAAACAACCAAACAATTGTGACCTCTTTTAAACAGATGGACAGACCTTGAAAAGGTAAAGGACAAATGAATCTGACATAGGTCTGCATTCTGAAGCAGCCAAACTCTCATTTTTGTTTGAAAAACTAGACTCAATCTTCTAGACAGGGATTATTTCTCTCTAACGTCAGAGAATGTTAAACTCACATCTTAATTGAGCAAGTTCTTGTCTGTAGAGCTCAGTAGCATTTGTGGGGAAAAAAACCTCACCTATACTGTACATTTTACAAAATACATTTTCATATGAAGAGTTAAAGAGGTCTGGCGGACTCTCCTTCCACAGATTAAACATGGGAAAGGCTTCTCAACTGTGTTGAGTCCTAATGTGATAAGTCAAGTGACTATTCCAAGAGAAACATTTACCACAAGTTTCACATGAATAAGGCTTGTCACCTGTGTGAATTCTCATGTGAGAAGTCAAGTTACTTCGCTGAGAGAAGCATTTACCACAAGTTTCACATGGATATGGCTTCTTACCGGTGTGAGTTCTCATGTGCTTAGTCAAAGCACGGCTGTGAGTGAAACATTTACCACAAGTCCTACATGAATATGGCCTCTCGCCTGTGTGAATTCTCATGTGACTAGGCAATTGATTACGCCGAGCAAAACATTTACCACAAGTTTCACAAGCGTAAGGCTTCTCACCTGTGTGAGTTCTCATGTGACAAGTCAAGTCACCGCTCTGAGAGAAACGCTTTCCACAAGTTTCACATGCATAGGGCTTCTCCCCTGTGTGAGTTCTCATGTGGGAAGTCAAGTTGTTGCCCTGAGAGAAACATTTACCACAGGTTTCACACAGATATGGCCTCTCACCTGTGTGAGTTCTCACATGTTTTGTCAAAGCATTAGTGTGAGTGAAACATTTACCACATGTTTTACATGAAAATGGCTTCTCACTTGTGTGAGTTCTCATATGCTTTGTCAACGCATTAGTGTGAGTGAAAGACTTACCACAAGATTTACATGAAAATGGCCTCTCACCAGTGTGAGTTCTAATGTGATGAGTAAAAACATACTTGTAACTGAAAGATTTTTTACATATTTTACATGAAAATGGCCTTTCACCTCTGTTCCTTTCTGCTTTTGGACCGTCTACACGGGTTTGTTTACATCTTCCATTTTGTTTCAATTCTCTATAGCTGGTTGATTCCAAGTTTTCAGTCCTGCAGACAATCTGTTCTTGATCCTTAGTTTCAGGAGAAATCTGACACGAGTGAGTGTTCCGGTTTGGTCCTGGTTTACAACAGTTTGGTTTTTCATAAGAAGTCACCATGACAGTAACATTTTCCTGCTTCAGAATGAACTGCCCTGCATGCTGACTGATGCAGAGTTCCTGCTGTTCCTCTTTCATTGGTGGAGGTTGTGGTTCTTCCAAGACCAAACTGGAAGTTGTATCTTGGTTACAGAGGAGCTGGTCAGTCAGAACCTCCTCTTCCCAAACATGATGCTGTGGGACTTCTGGACAGGCTAAAAGGCAAAAGAAACTTCTGATTAATGTGACGATAAGAGCACATTTTATTTTGATCATCGGACACATACATATATTTTGGTGAACAATGAACCCTCAGATTACATTTTACTTGCAGAAAACACATTAACAAGAGTTTCCAAAAGCTCTTACACAAATTCATTGTCCCATTTAAACAGACTTACGGAGAATGGTGTTCTCTGACCAAAATGGCCGACTTCCTATGGGTTTGGACCGACGACACCAAAGACTTATGCACCGTAAATCCTCTAATATTAGTCTGTATTTAATTAACTGCCGGGTATCATATTTTGGCCGGTGTCATAGTCGACGGAGGTGAATAATGGCCGGTTTTTTTTTATTGTGGCCGGGTGGAATGTGGTAACAAGCAAGTACGGGGGGCGGTTGTGTCATCCGTCTCACTTTTGATTTGCCAGTGATAGACCGCGAGGGTAACTTTAACCGTGCGGAGACGAAGAGGAGGCCAAAATTTGATATCAAGTTCAAAGAGAACGTGCTGATTATGCTGCAGAACACTCTGGGGAGCAGTAGCAGGGGTTGTATGAACTAGTCACTAGTCGACTTCACCGCTCTATAGTGACTTTTTATGCCTGTCATCGACTAGTCGCTGTCACGTGATAATGACCGGCAAGATGCAGTCCACGGAAAAGACAGCAGCCTGTTGTCAGAAGGTGACAAGCTCCTGCACGTCGGGGGGCAACGCGCTGTGCCAGAGCGTCGGTACTGACACCCGCTGTAAAACGGACATTTAACCAAATTGTGACGTTTACCCTCTTGCAATTTAACCTTCCCCTCACCCCCATCCTAACCTTAACCAGCTTGCGCATGCAAAGCTCCGACTGTTGACGCGCTCCAGACATCTGCGTCCTGAGCACGCCACAGTAACATTATCAAATCAGGTGTCGCCACCTCAAAAACTAATTTAACACGCGATCGTTCATGTCGGCTCATTTCCTTTTGTGTTTTCTGTCTTTTATTCTTTTATGTGTGCCTGATGCGTTTCGCTGCTGTGGATCGGGGCACATCACCTGTTTTGTCCTCGGTGACGCACCACTGATACGGCCGGCGAGCAGCGCTCACTCTGCTGTTTTTGCGGTCGGTAGATCTTTTAGAACTGCAGTTCAAAGGTAACTCATAAGGTGAATATATATGAAGCCAGGTAGCAGTTTTTCTTTAGGATTGAGAGGAGATGCAGGAAGATAATAAACAGGCAGGACAGAAAAAAATCAAATAAAAACAAGTTAGTTTTTGTACCTGGTGGTTGCAACAAACAGACACCATTGAAGGTAATCAGAAGTGATGAACAGAAAATGAAATGATTATTTTAATGTTTAGAGCAGCAGGAACTCCGAGAGGCTGCAGGCGCATCATTGAGTTTGCGGCCGCTGCGCGCGGGGGGCTGAAGCAGAAACTACCGTTGTTAAAAGAAATGTGTTTAACTTTGAAAATGTGGGCGCAATTTTAATTGTCAAAAACTCCAGCGAACCATTAGTTCATTTTGCTTAAATAGAAATTGAGGCCTGCCTCTAATTCTGGTCCTCCTTCCAATAAAGGCCTGGAGCTTGATGAGCTTGAGTCAAATACAGACCCGGGTCTGTATTAGAAGATTTACGGTATATGAAATCAGGGTATATACAGCAATCCTTAAGTAAAATTTACTACTTTTTAATACTTTTTTTTACTACCTTCAGAATTTTTTAAAAACCATCACAACACTAAATTGCAAGTGTTAATCAGCGACCTATTTACACATATTTTAACATATATAACATACAAAAAGAATAGACTTAGAGACTCACTGATGTTGACAACGTATTGCACATATTTATTTTACTTAGAAAATAAGCCAGGCACTTCTGTTCAGCGGTTCAGACAGTTGACCACGAGGCCTGAAATGATGCACAACGACCACTGAATATGACGTCATCATTGTGACCGGATATGCTAAAGTAGGGCTGCTCGATTATAGCAAAAACAATAATCACGATTATTGTGACTGAAATTGAGATCTCGATTATTTAAGACGATTTTTCAATTTATGTAGATTTTTATTTTTTTTATTTTTATTCAGTCATAAAACTGCTCAGGGCACAATCAGGGCAAAAATAAACAAGATGATCACTAAAATAACTCCTGATTCCCAGTATAAAAAGACCAATATACTTATAGCTAATAGTTTATGACCCAAGGGCTATAGACCTTGGTTTAACTCATTTAAGTCTAACCAGTACAGACCCAAATACCAATATCTTGCAAATACTGACAGCAAGAATTATACAGTGGCATTTATAACAAATACATGCAAATTGCTGTTCACTAAATGTTGCATAACATTTATTGAGTCGTGTCAAGGTGCTGTAGGAGAGTGCACTAGCACCGTGTCCTCAGAGAGATTAGTTATTAGTTATCAGCATGAGGAACTTATTTCTACCTTATTTATAAACTATTTATTTACAGGTCCATCAGTTAATGTAATAATTGTCCCAACCACAGCTGCACCCCCCACCCCCCAACCCGGTCTCACAGCAATCGGGGCAAGCTGCACGTGTGTTTAGCGCGCCGCACACGCACATTTAGCCGTTTTTATCGGCTCAGGAGTCCGCAGGTGCGGTGTGTGTCACTCTCACTCTGGTTACTCCAACATGGAGCCGGCTCCGAGAGCTGTTTTTAGCGACTGACACATCACTACATCATTCCCTTTCCTAATGTCCTGAAGAACGGTCCGGAGCGCAGGCGGAGTGTTTAGCTAACCTGCAGGAAATGTCGACGACAGTTATCCAGAAAGTAGCTAAGGGTTACCAGATATGTTTCTCAGGTGTTCGCTAGGTACTTTTAAGATTTAAAAAGTCAAGAAGGGGGTCTGAGAAGCTGTTAGAAATAGCGTCAAAGTTGCTAAGTTAACTTGGCAACACTGGGAGGAGCGCTTCATTTGCAACTCAAGGCAGCGCAAGTGGGAGGAGCAAATAATCGGCTTGTTTTGTTTTTATAATCGTTCAAAACATTTTATTCGGAATATATTTCTATGTTGATGTTCAGAATACGACATCTGATAGTCTGAAAAAAATAATACCTAATTTGGAAAAAATAATACCTCTGAGACCAAATTTAACACTTTTAATGGCCTTAAATTTGACTATTTTTATTTATCACTTTTTAATACTTTTTAAAACCCCGCGGACACCCTGGAAATTTCATAATCCTCAGTAAAAGAATGGCTAGGGGATAAATGGTTTATCTTTATTAGAGAGTGCTTTTAAAAATTAGGCAATGTCCATCAATGTGTTCTTACATATCAGTTAGTAATTGGGTTAAAACCATTCATCTTAAATCTTGTGCAGATCAGAAGAAAAATATGGAAATTTGAGGCAAACGTATGGCCACAGCATAACGTCATACTTCACCATGCTGTCAAAGCCCCATCTTCTTTCAAACAGTTTAATAACTGGACGCCAAGTGACCCCAACTTGTTTCCTATTACCTGAAAACTATTCATCACAATTAGGTAAAAGGAGTCAAATATGGACCCTTTAAAGTAATGATAAGAACTCCAGCTCTGGGACCACAATGCGTTTTTCTGCAGTCGCACGACAAAAATATGTGTAGAAACTAATCGGGAGATTTTTTGTTTTTTAAATCTGTGAAGCCAAAATGGAAGTAACAAAAATTGCAGTTCCACCTTCATCCGCTAGGGGCTTGCACCAGAAACGAGCAAATCCTCATTGACTTCCATGTTAAAAATGCCAACGTCTCAGCAGACATGAAGATGTTTACAGCCTGGTTCAATAAATAGACTTTAGGTTTAATAGATCTAGTTTACATTCATGACAGCTCTGACGAGGGTGAATTTTTTTGTAACGCTACAGTTGAAGTGTAATTAAATGCTTGAAATTATGAATAATTAGGTTTGATTGACACGTAGAAGCAGCATCAAGGCTACCACTAGCAGCTAGGTCCGAGAAAGCCCTCAGCCTGGGACTCAAGTTAATAGATGATTGGCCATTTCAACTCTCTGAACTTAAGTTGTGTCCTCTGTGTGTTCATGTTTGGATGTTAGTCCTGGAATTATTTCTATTAAATCATTGATTTGGTAAGCTGGTCATTCAATGGGATTGACGAGATTTTTTTCAACAATGAGAACGGAGCGGAGGGCTCAGTCTTGTCCAGATGGAATTTACTCTGTGAGGTATATTTTGGATCCCTGGAAGGAGCAAGTGGTGCTCGCTGCAGAACCACAAAGGCGGAGCTGCACCAGATGGTGGAGCTGCACCAGAGTCAGCCCCGCCCATTCCAGAATCAGCCCTACCCATTCCATCAGAGTCAGTCCAATTCCTTCCAGTTGTCAGACTTGATATACAGGTGCTGGCCAGTAAATTAGAATATCATCAAAAGGTTGAAAATATTTCAGTAATTCCATTCAAAACGTGAAACTTGTACATTATATTCATGCAATGCACACAGACCAATGTATTTCCGATGTTTATTACGTTTAATTTTGATATTTATAGGTGACAACCAATGAAAACATCAAATCTGGTATCTCAGAAAATTAGAATATTCTAAAGGCCAATGAAAAAATGTTTGTTTCTCTAATGTTGGCCAACTGAAAAGAATGAACATGAAAAGAATGTGCATGTATAGCACTCAATACTTAGTCGGGGCTCCTTTTGCCTCAATAACTGCAGTAATGCGGCGTGGCATGGACTCGATCAGTCTGTGGCACTGCTCAGGTGTTATGAGAGCCCAGGTTGCTCTGATAGTCGTCTTCAGCTCCTCTGCATTGTTGGGTCTAGCGTATTGCATCCTCCGCTTCACAATACCCCATAGATTTTCTATGGGGTTAAGGTCAGGCGAGTTTGCTGGCCAATCAAGGACAGGGATACCATGGTCCTTGAACCAGGTGCTGGTGGTTTTGGCACTGTGTGCAGGTGCCAAGTCCTGTTGAAAGGTTAAGTCTGCATCCCCATAAAGTTGGTCAGCA